CTGTTCTGAATGCTGCCTGCACACACTGGGAGCGAACAACAGAAGCTGTCATATTTGTACTCTGTACAAATCTATGGCTGCTATTTGCAGATGAGCAGTTACATGCCAATAGAATGCCCAACTGACCCTGGATGCAGACAGTGTATTTTCATGGTCAGCGTTAATGCAATGTTTTAGCTGCTTACAAACTGGCCGCAGCTAATATGCGGCCAAAGCTCAGCTGCATCCAATGGCAGTGTTTAGCCTCCGCTGCACGTAGGAAACTATACCCCCTGGCCGTGAATGCAGCTTTATGCTCATTTGTATCTACTGTAAAACAAAGCTTACAGCACTAATACTGGTGAAAAATTCAACAAGGTGATATTTTTTTTTACAATGATGAAGATTTTGTCTTCTGCTGTGTTTTTGCCATTTTTATTTACTGCCCTGATATTGATGCCACAACACAGTAGGCATGTATAACAAAATAGCTCTTAGATTGTAAGCTCCCAGGATCAGGCCCTCCTAACCCTCTTGTATTGAACTGTATTGTTGCTGTATTGTCTCCCGTTATATTGTAAAGTGCTGAGCAAACTGTTGGCGCCATATAAATCCTGTATAATAATATTAATAACAATAGCCATAGCAACATGATACAGCAAATTTTGATCACAGCTGTCATTATTTCTATACACTAATCACAGCTGAGTGAAAAAGTGTCACCTTATTCACTAAGCTGAATGAACATTCCCTTTGCTGAATGAACAATCGGTATACTTTTACAAAATCATCCCCAGACAGTAGAAAACAACAGAGACAGCCAGACAAGTAGCATTTTCCGGATGAGATTCAGTAATAGCAGTCTCCATATGTTTCTTTGTACGTTCAGTACGTTCAGTACATTCAGTTATTTGTTCTGTCCTTTGCAGAAGTAAAATTCTGAGCTATGTTTACCATCTGGCTTTTCTGGATCTGTGCCGGAAGCAGAAGACATGAGCTGTCCCTACATTGCTTGAATGTCAACCAATTTCTCCCGGCTCTTTCAAAATCTGAGTAGTATATGACCCCGCCAGAATTGCTCTTTTTGACAAAATTTGTTTAATCGATTTTTTGTAAAAAAAAAAATGTTGTAAAATTGTTGCCCTAACAGCATTCAAAGATCAAAAATTTACATGGACTTTTCTTTAGAGCTGTGTCGTGCATTTTGGCCCCATATGGTGCAATGGAAGCGCCTGTAAACAGGCGTCACAAAAAGTATTTTCACATATTTTTGCACAAAAACAACCTTTCCCTTCTGCAATTCCCCTCTTCCCCTCCCACTTTGCATACATGTGCACAAATGCTTTCAAAACACACAAAAAAACCCACACTCTCCCCGGCTAGTCTGGGGATGTAATGGCGTTCGGTATTGGCGCTCTTGGACCCCTGCCCCTTGCCCCTCCCTTTTTTTTTTTTCTCTTTCTTTTTCTTCCCCTCTTTCTTCTTTTTTCATTCTCTCTCTGTTTTGGTGTGACTGGACTGCTGCATTTAGTTGTTATAGTCAGTTACAGCAATGTTTTGTAACTTATGTGCCATTGATAGCCTCTGCGTGGGGGCGTACCTTTTGCCCTGTTGGCATTAGAGCACCGTTTTTCCCTTTTTTTTTTTTATTTTGCATTTTTTTTTTATCTGTGCAATTGATAGCCCCTGCGTGGGCGTGTTTTATTGCCTCTCTTTTATACTGTTTAAAAATTAATAAAAACCATTGAAATAGAAAACACACAAAAAAGAACATGTCCAAAAACACACAAACATTGCCATTATAAGCACTTACATAAGCATGTACTAGGCTTACAAGGGACATACAAAGCCACAAGGGTACAAACTATTTTATTTTGGTTATCTTTTTCCTTGTGTGGCTGTTTCTGGACCTCAGAAGGTATATTCTGGTAAAAGGAGATGGGGTGGGTGACAGGGTTTAATAAAGAGGAGGCACAAGGCTCAGCACATCCAGCAATATTCAATTATCATCCCAGGTAGTCAACTTACTTAATACAGGGGGCCTCAACGGTGGCCCCTGACATCATCAAAGCCCTGCATATACTGTATTGTTCAGGTTTTTATATATATATATATATATTATATATATATATATATATATACATTTTTCTGAAGCTCCACGGTGCAGTGTGCACGCTCAAGACTAACACCAGCTGCAAAAAAAAGTGCACAGGATGTACACGTTGTCCTCCGAAGAAAGACCCTAGCCCTGATCTCCCAGGGCTCAAGACATCTGACGGGGAATGGGGTACTTGTGGTCCACCCAGCCGAAACTGGGAGGACTCCTTTCTACGGGAGACCTGCCAAAGCAAGGTCTACCCAAGTACTAAGTGGGACCCCCCAAAGCCATAAGGCCATGTGCCCTCCCCTCCAAGCCTACCAGGGCAAGTCCAAGGACCTACACCCACTAGTTCGGGAAGAGCAAAGTGCCATCATGCTGGCAAAAAATTTAAAAACAACAGTTAATATAATGCTATAGAAATCTCTCAGAGACTATAGACTTGAAATGCATCAGACTGCAAACTCGCTATAAGAGGTGTTAGAGATTGAGGATATGCTTCAATCATAGACACATTACATGAGACGGTCAGAGATCACTGCTATTACAGTCCCTTTGATAATTCCTTCCACTCCTTCAAAATGACTTGTCCCACATTTATATTTCTCTCACCAAGATCCATTATAATAGATCCAAAGAAAAATTTACAGAAAAAGAACAAGGATGATCAGCACAGAAAAAGTAAGATAGTGTGAAACAAACTTGACTGGCTTGATTAAGGTAAGGAAACCACAGGCTACTCTCTGCAGGGGTCCTGAAGGCCACACAACAAATGTCAAAGGCTGCATATTGGACACCAGAACTAAAAATATATGAATTAGAGGGGGCATGATGCACTTACATGTCTTGAAAATTATTAATAAGATAAATATGGAATCTGCACAAAATACCTTCATCATTAATATGCACCTAGGGCAGCATGGTGTGTGAATACAACCCTGATAATTATCAGAATGGAGTAGACTCAGTACAAAGTGTACAAATGTCTATGCTCTTGGTAGCTCCAGAAATAGGAATGTAGTTATAATACATAGGTTAGCTGTAAATAACTAAACAGCGATACTCAGTCTTTAATTTTATTCCATGCAACTATCATAACACCATGCTGCTAATTAAAGTGTATCTATAGCCAGACTGTTCTGTTTAGAGTTGAACAGAGTAAGGATTGGAGCCCCTGTCAGGTTTTTACTGATGTCTGGGTCACGCTAGGCTAGATTTGCCCTCTCTATATATCCTGGTGACCATTGTCACTGGAGAAGAAAGTGATGGGTCATTTGCAAAAAATTATTGAATGCACTTTTTTTTGCATATAAGTGTATGTATTTATTATTTTTATTCAAAAGGTAGACATAGCCTATAAGAAATGGTATCAGCTCCCCACCCATAGCCTGGTGATTTGACAGTGAATTAGCAAAAGTAGACCAATCAGTCATCAACTCTACTGCTTAAGCTGGCCATACACTGTTATTTTTCTATGTATTTATTTTTTTATGTTTTAACGTTCAGCCATCAGACTGCATGAAAAAAAACACAAAATCAAAGTGGATGGGGGATTCCCCCCTGCTGGGACATTGTATTCTGACAGTGCCACCCACCATTGTCAGCATGCACTGATCAAGGGCTGCAGCCACTGATTGATGGGAAATTTTTCAACATGTCCCTTCAACACTGGTTGATTACACAATTGGCTTCTGTCAAGCAGTGGAGGTGACATGCTGATTAAAATTTGTCAGGTTCCTGAGAAACCAGACAAATTTCGATCAGGGTATGGCCAACTTTACTGTGTTATTTCAGTATGTTTCCCTGTGGGCACATTTGCATACAGCAGAGTCTGATTGGCTGCTAGTGCTGTCCCTCCCACTCTCAGAGTGAAGGGGATTACAGGACCCTGATATCATGACAGATTCATGTATTTGTGTTCGATGTACTTGTACATAAAAATACATGCAAATAATTTGAATTGAATGCACTTCTTCACTAAACTGAGGTTCAGCTTTGGTTCTCCTCTCTATCCACTTAAAATCTAATGAGTTAATTGAGAAACACTTTTACTGGAATTTGGGTAACCCAGAAAATAATTACATATGAAATGATGTCATTCTGGAGTCTTGTCACAACCACCAACCCCAGCCCCATGTGGAGGTTGTCCGTAGGAGAGCCGTGGTAGAGGTAGTGGTGGTGAACAGCAGAACAGAAGTTAAAACAGCAGGAGTGAGACTCAAAGGAAGGCACAGCTGGAAACCTTAGTAGCTGTATTACCAAAGAGGTAGCAAGCAGCCACCTTAACCTACTAGACCCCACCAGTAACTTACTTATAACGTTTGTGTAGACTGACCATTTAAGTTAATATACTCCAGGAGAAAACATCTCATTATGTTCTGCACATTCATTGGTTTTTAAGAGCTAATATGAGACATCAGACATTTACATTATTTTTTTATTAAGATTTCATATTAATCAATGTAACAGCAATTTTGACAATAAATATTAATAACTTACTTTTGTTCGATAATAAAGTCCTCGATCCACAAGATAAATTATCATATTCAAACGTATCAGCATTTGATACTTATAAATATTTCTATATCCCATGACTTCAGGTAAGAAGACAGAGTCTCAGCCATTAGAACACTGAAAGCAGACGATCACGTCACTAGTGGTGGACAAAACTCTGCCCGGATAAGAGTCACCTTCGTCTGAGATGAGTTGTGGGTGAGACGAGTTCAAAAAAGAACTATAAATTCCTGTTTTCTTCCCAAATCCCAGTATAAAGTCAGAGGTGTGCAGGTTCCAGACTGATGCACACAGCCCCATGGATGGGTAGGAGGTCCTGCAATGTGAGTGGCTGGGTTTGTTCATCGTTTGAAGTGTAAAGGGGTTTTTTCATGCGGGGTCCATGCTGCTCAGTCCCAATCTGAAGACCTCACGTTTCCACTGGACTAGGGACCATGCTGTTTGGGGTATCTGGAAGTTGGGAAGACAAGGAGGTGACATCACTCCCAGAAGAGTTACCAAGGGAACCTGATTCTGAAAATGATACCTGCAAATGAAGTAGAACGTCAGTGAGGAAGATACAGCAGCCTTTATATACCCCATTGTTGGTGTCAGAAAGCCTGCATAGGTGATAAGTTGGCCATACATGTTTGTTTTTTTTTTTACCATGCAGCCATCAGATTCCTCCATCCAAACAAGGTGGATGGAGGTATTTTCTTCCTGCCGGGACATCACTGCATTCTGACAGCGTGACCTGCTGCTGTCAGAATACTCTGATTAGCAGCTGTAGCTGAATGACTGCAGCTGCTGATCATGGAAAATTTTCCAACATGTCCCTTTGACAGAAGTCAATCAAATGATTGACTTCTGTTAAACAGGGATGGCCATGCACTGATTGAAATTGAGCCAGTCCCTGCTGAACCTACCAAATTTTGAACAGTATATGCCCAGCTTTGATTCCTTGATTGCAGGCTTCCTGATACCAACAATGGGGCTATGTAACTAGAACAGACAGACACCAAAACTTTCACACCTCCCATCCTGCTCTTGGACAATCAAAATTTACACATTCCATGGTGATTGGATTCAGGGCTGCTGTTAGAAATTACAGGGCCCCGTACAGCCTAATTGACAGCCCCCAGATCTGCCCCCCACACACACACTCACCGAATTACAAAAATGAAAAAGTTTTTAAATTATTTTTCCAATTTATACATTTTTTTTACCATTTAAAGACCTCTGACTTATCACCTTTGAGACAGAGAAAGTCTCCTGTTCATTCATAAACTGAAGCATAGTAAAAACAGTTTACTATGCTCAGTTATCAATGGTCACAGGAGCAATCGGTGCCGATCACTCACTGTATCCAATTCAGAAAAGAAAGGGGCTGGTAAATGACATAGTCACCAGCAGTGATCACATGCAAAAAAAATCCAACATGCTGGTTATACTGAAGCCGATCAATGGATTAACTTCAGTACAACCAGCCTGCCCATAGATGGATTAAATCTTGGCCAGACCCTGCTGAACCAGACGAGATTTGATCCATCTATGGCCGGCTTAATGCTGATTTGGTGTACAATAGGATATCTGAAGGCAGAAAGGTGACACAAGAGCTAAATTGTTTATTTAGGACTATGTGTGTCACCTGTCTGGCTGTGCAGTTGATAATGTTATTATGTTTAAATCCTTTGTCGGTTAAGACCAGAATATAAATATATAGGTATTTTGATGTTTCCCTAGAATCTTACTTTAAATAGCTTCAACTATAAAAAGCAGAGTGCAGTGAAAAGAGGACAAAGGAGTGAAAGCTGTAAAATTAGACAGAAAAGTTAAAAGGCAATAAAGTGAGACTAAAGAAACAGGCCGAAAACCAATAAATGTGTTATATAAGGAAAAGTAGAAAGCAAACAAATGATCAAAGGACATGAAAGTACATGGTCAGAGAGTATAAACGGGAAATTCTCAGTGGATGTATATGTTTCTCTAGTACACAGCAGAGATGATGTATTTATGACTAGTTAGACTTGCTCTGATGTGTGTGGAGATGCATATGCACCATGTAAACCTCCATGTTTACACATACTTCATACAAGAGCTGACATTAACTAGCTTTGACTGGCTGTGGTTTAACACTGATCGGGTCATTGTTACCATGTACTACAAAAAAAGCTCTGGATTTATACTCCACCAGCTATCTCATTATGCATAACTTCACAATAAAGATATCATTTATAAAGATTAATTTGTTATCATCACCAGTTTACAAGAATCCCTAATTAGTCTCCATGCCTTTGTCATCAGGCGACTGTTTGTAGTGTTGTATGACTAATGCAGATGGCCATATATTTTCTGTATGTATTAGGCAGGATCAAACTGAGAATTGCAGCATGCACATTCATGCCTGATCTGAAGATCTCAGCATCATTCCACTGGAAGAAGGTCCTGATCCCATCAGATGTGCAACATAATTTAGGAGAAGATCCTGTTATCTGACAGGATCACTGGCAGTAAAGCACTCATACGTGAGCCTTCCGGTCAGGTATCGACAGACATGAGATGATCAGATGAGGTGATGATCTTATGTCTGAGCTCCTGCAAACACCTCTGACCCATCACTGTATGGGGAAGGATTGATCAGAGAGATTAGAAAACCTGCTTCAAATGCAATTGCTTCTTCTTAATAAGCTGGCATCTGCCTCTTCCCCGCATTTCTACTTCTCCCTCTGAACACCTCTACACTCAGTAGCGCCATAGACATATGTTTATATCAAACTCTGCAGCACTTTGAAGATTTTAGGATTTTGTCTGCATGTCCTACAGAGAATATTGACCTACAAAAGGCCAAAACTCAGCAAGTTCATTATATGAAATCCACTAGAGCAGAAGTTTCAGCTTGGTCATCAACCCCCAAACATTTATTAGATGAAAATCAATTTTTTTGAAGGTTTCATGACTACATTACTAAAAGTCTTCTCACATAATAGGCACATTGTTTCATTGGCAAATATTGTTGTGAACACTATTGACACTTCCTCTTAATATCAGCAGCTGCCAATATAATTGTTATAATGCAGAATTTTTAGTAAATGCACAGCAATCAGTTATTTGGATTAATTCCTATATTTATGCTACTCCAACAGAGTTGAGGTGGGGGAATTCACTGGCCCTCCAGCAGAGTTGAGGTGGATGTACTCAAAGGCCCTCCAACAGAGTTGAGGTAGGAGTACACAAAGGCCCCCAACAGAGTTGAGGTGAGGGTACTCACTGGCCCTACAATAGAGTTGAAGTGGATGTACTCAAAGGCCCTCCAATAGAGTTGAGGTGGCTGTACACACTGGCCCTCCAAGAGAGTTGAGGTGGCTGTACACACAGGCCCTCCAAGAGAGTTGAGGTGGCTGTACATTCATTGGTCCTCCAGCAGAGTCTGAGGTGGTGAGTACACACTGGTTCTCCAACAGACTTTGAAGTGGGGGGGTATGCTCAGTACGGGAAGTGAACCCATACATACTGTATATCCTTCCTAGAAGGGGGAGCGTGGAAGGTCTCAGACACACAACATAAATCGCACTGGTATACAAGGCCAGTAACATCACACTACTAGCAGAGAAAACTCAAGTATGCTCTCCTGGCAGCTGACCATACAACCCATGGTATAATTGAACACATTCTTGTAGAATAACTGAAGTTGACCAAGCACATATATTTTCAGCTGCACTGACACTATGCCACAGGCCAGGGTTGCAGTTAATATTTTTCAGTGCACTGCTTTCCTACAGGGACTATGGCAGCTACTAATGCCAATGTGTGTCTAGAAGGTTTAGGTCCTAGACCTTTCATCTTGATGATCTGGATTAGCTACCTAGTGGGTTACTTACTTGGATTAAGCATGCAGCTGGTGAAATCTGAAAGGTTTGAATTCCCACCCAACATGTTAGAACCTGCTCCCTTATTTTTATCCTTTGGACGTTTCATTTTACTTTCATTGTTACTGTTTTCAGTGAATTTAAACCAATTACCCATCTTGTGTATAATGGGTTCCTTTACAAATCATTTTCATTTTGGTGATTTGCCATCATACCCTCACCTATCTAAGCCCCATAGAAACAGTCTTTGACATGAAAGACATTGTGCCCATATTTATCTATCACATATGCTTTATCCTTACCAACTGCTGAAATGCTGGTTGCTCCAAGTCACTCTGTAATGCAAAATCACTGAGTGCTTTCCAGGGCGGTTGATAAGTCTGTACCTCTACTGCATTTCCCTGCACGGCACTGTCATGGCGGATGGGGCTTCCTGCTACAAGTGGCGTTCCTGTTAACCCTTGAAGACTCTGAAAAGACAAGAAGAATGTTAGCAATAAATAAATGACAAAAACTATTTTACATGCATGGCAAGCTAGTGAACAGTTCCCTAAAGCGACTGTTAAGCTTTGTTTTTTTTTTAAATAAAATACTAATGTCATACTTATCTGCTCTGTGCAATGGTTTTGCAGAGAGCAGCCCTGAACCTCTTCTTCTTGGGTCCTCCACCAGCGTGGCCAGCTCCTCCTATTCATCCTGTGCCCCTATAGGAATTTGCTTCCTATGAAGGCAATTGTGTGGGCTTGCTCCCAAGCCCTGGTGTCCATAGACACAGATACACTCCCTCTTACAGAGTTTATGTCAGGGTTGGGCTCCTGCTACTTAACAAGCGGCTCTTTTATTTCAGTGCCCAGAAGCTGTTCAGCTGTCGGTTAATTGCCAGACACTCATTGTCGCCACAGTGACTCATCTGGATACCATTACCTCAAGGGCTGGCTGTAGGCCTCATTAGTCCAGCCTACAGCCAGCCCTTTCTGCTGTTTTAGCAGCTTAGCTCATTTCCTCCTTGCTCTTACGTGGTCTGTGATCTCCAGTGTGTTCCTGTGTACAACTTGGTCTGGCTGACATCTCTTCTGGTTCCTGTTCCTGATTTTTGGCTCCTGACTACGCTGACTTTTGGTTTTCTGACCCTGGCTCATCTGAATATCCACACTGACATCCAAACCCTGGCTTCTGTTTTGAGTAAGATCCTGATCTATGTTATACGTATTTGCTATTTCATTAAGCGTGTGATTTTAACTGCACTTTCTGTCTACACCTGGTATATAGTTCCTGACAGTTTGATTGACAGCAGCGGAAGCTCCCACTGTTATCAATCTGCCCTGTGAGGAGGGACAGAACCTGGAGAGCTGCTGCTCTCATGCACAGTGCTTGATCGCGATGGGGCACAGGTAAGTATGGGGGGGGGGCTTGGGGGGACAGAATCCATTAAGGTAAAAAACCTTAAAGCTTTACAACCACTTTAAGATGCCCATACACACTGGAAATGGTTTTTTAACATGACACAACAATTTAGAATTAATGTAATATAAAGTGAATAGAATAAAGAAATGAATCTCATTCTCCCAGCCTGAGCTTTACTGTACAGGGGAAGTCAAATTTAGGCACTTATACTGCTTACATAAAAAATACATTTAATGATGCATTAATGAATACAGAGCTGTATTCATTTGTGTCTTTTATATCTGCCTTGATTTCAGCTTTTAATTACAGTGAAAATGATTGTAAAGTGTTTGATAAGTGTTACAGGCCAAACCCAGGCACATTTCTCCACTCTATTTCAGCTCTGCATGAAGGAGTTAATTAGCAATATTACAGAGTATTGCGGGAGCATCCCATTTTTCGATCAATGAGTTTGGAGCAATCCCAGATCTCAGTCATAGCATAAAAATATCCCTGACACTTCATAAACAGCATGAATCTTGTCCAACTATTGGCCATAACCATATTTTACCGTCTTGTCACTGAGTTGTTGCTGCTGCTGTAGCTGTTTCATGAGGATGGATTTCTTCTTGTCTTTACAGCGTTTGTTCTGAAACCAGACCCGGATCACCCTCGGGCTGAGTCCAGTCATTTCTACCAACTGTTCTTTCATCAAGGCGTCCGGTCGAGGGTTGGCTGCGTAGCACGTTCGTAGTGTGTGTAACTGCTTTTCATTCAGAACAGTCCGTACTCTTGTTGTCTTTTCAGTCTGCTTATGGATATGGGACCTAAGTGAAGAGGACCTGCCATTGTCTGGAACACAAAGAATGGACAGTGAATGGAGGACATTTTTATAGGGCTGATCCATTACAATTACAAGTATAAGGAGTAGATGGGAACTTAGTGAGGTTAATTAACTAAAGGAGTACAAGTTGTTAATGAAACAAAGTAAGGGCCTATTCACACCAGATAGTTTGGGCTACACTGGGCAGCCTTGCCTAACCAACTCCCAGTGCATAGACAAGGCAAAATGCCTTTTCAGTTCACACCACTGCATCCCACCACACTGCGGCCAATAAAACGGATTGAAATGTCACTTTGTGATATCTCGATAAAGATCTCAGTTTTTTTTTTAAAAAGGTTACACTGTGGCAGAGCAGCATCCCTTTAAATGGGTCTTTATGACTGGAAGGCAGGTGAAGTTACTGATTATGTGGGCACTGGTTACCCAAGGCTGTCACAATGTCTATTATTATTTCAAGTGCTTATATAGCGCCATCAATTTTGCAGCGCTTTACATGTATATTGTACATTCACATCAGTCCCTAACCCTCAAGGGGTGGACAATCTAAGGTCCCTAACTCACATTCATACATACACATACTAGGGCCAATTTAGACAGGAATCAATTAACCTACCAGCATGTCTTTGGAGTCTGGGAGGAAACTGGAGTACCCGGAGGAAACCCACGCAGGCACAGGAGAACATGCAAACTCCAGGCAGGTGGTGCCGTGATTGGTATTCAAACCAATGACCCTAGTACTGCTAGGCGGAAGTGCTAACCATTTAGCCACTGTGCTGCCCATGTGTCTATGACAGTCACTGAGCTGGGAGTGCGCCGCAGTGAGTGCGCACTCAGTACACAACCCCGGCCATCGGTGGACGCATATGTGCAATGTGTGGGCATTAAAGAATATGCCTTATGGGGGAAGCAAGAGGTTAACTTTCACTTCGCTAAGTGAACAGCCTTAACTCCTGTAGTAAATCAATCCCACTATGTTTTTCACATCTGTCACTATAAAAGTGTGTGGTTCTCAAGTTATATTATATGTCAATACACCTATTGACCAATAATCACAACATGCAAGCAAGCCGCAGTAAGCTGTTAAGAGGAAATACATATTTTCACCAAATACTTGGTCATTATTTTAACATTTTTCTAATTTTAGTAATCTTGTCACATTATCGCTTGCTGTTCAATATTTCCTGGATGATTCCTAATATTAATATTTATGGAGCCTTCATTTATTGACAACATGCGCCAAGAGTACAGTGGATCAGATTTCAGGATAATTTATACAGAACGCATGTGTTCAGAGATGTCCCTAGGGTTGGTGTCACCCGGTGCGGTAACATGTGGTATCACCCCTCCAGAGAGGAAAGAGCGGTGCCGCTGTATCAGTAAAATGAGTATCCTGGACCCGTGAAGATATGTATCCCCTGAAGCAACTGCGCATGTGCCAGTTTCAGGCAGAAGAAGCAGATCTCTGAATTTAGCACAGAGCTGCCACAGTTATCCCCTTACAGGCTTCAAATCACTGAAGCTGAGCACTATGGGTTGCATGCCGTAAAGGGCATAGTGATCCACGGGATCAGCTTCAGCAGTTTGCAGCCTGTAAGGGGTTAACTGTGGCAGCTCTGTGCTAAAGTCGGAGATTGGCTTCTTCTGCCTGAAACCGGCACATGAGAATTTGCTTCAGGGGACACATATCTTCACGGGTCCCGGATACTTATTTTACCGCTACACTGGGGGCAGCTGTCACTGTGCTGGGAATCCGGGATCACCCCAATAACTGGCCAGGACCTTCACAGAGCCCAGAAGCTCTGCTAGCATCCTGCTACTGCACCCCCTGTGATGGTGTCACCCAGTGCGGCCTGCACCCCCCTAGGGACGCCACTGTGTGTGTTACTTTCATTCAGTCTGAGTAGATTAACATACCTCCCAACTTTTTGAGCTGAGAAAGAGGACACACCCCCCTGCCACACCCCTTTAAAGGAGAATTATACTAACAAAATTCATTAAAGTCACAAGTGTTTTTTTTTTTTGTTTTTTTTTTTAACCACTACTATTTTTTATACTGGCTTTTGAAATTTACAAATGCAACAATTTAGAAACTGGATGAAAGATTGAGCACTGTGAAAAACGTTTTGAAAGATAAATAGGTCATTTTATATACAACTGTACAGATCAGACCAAAATGAGGGGCAAATGAGGAGGAAAGAGGGACAGAGGGACTTTGTTGCAAATCAGGGACAATCCCTCGAAATCAGGGAAAGTTGGGAGATTTGCATTAGTACTATGTAAGACAAACAGCAAAGCACATTCACAAAAAATACAGTCCGCATACCTAATCAGTAAATACGTTAACTATACATATTTTTAAACATTAAAAAGAGAAATATACCGCTCCAGTGAGCGGTAATTGACAGTCACCGCTCTCTGCTCAGATAGGACCGGACAACTGAGTGATCAGCAGTCATGTGATCGTTCAGTTCTCTGGCTCAGAGGCAGCGAAGGACAGCTTGCAGCATTGGATCGATACTGCAGTAAATAGGTAAGTATGTATGTTTATTTTTTTTTTTTTACAATTCTGTACTTCTCCTTTAACGCGCTTATTTAACAATTTCTACAGTAAGATGTATTTATAAAAATAGCAATTTAAAAAGACATGCCCCTGAATAAAACAATTTTTTGCATTCTGTTTTTTTTTGCAAGCAAAGTGTATTATGTAGGTAAACTCGTAACATTATTATTGTTTTAGGCTACAGTCATATATCGCATAGTGGTAACGAGGTACACAATTTTCACATGATTCTATGTGTCACATATGGCCAGCCCATTTACGTGTTGTGTATGTTTGTTGCTGAAAAGAAGATCCTGCTCCTTTTTGGGTGACAAGTTTCATGCCGTTTTTAAAGGTGCAGTTTTCCCATTATTGCTGTGCGATCCTGTCACGTAACCATTGTGGCAGTATTGTACTGTGTTTTGGGGTGCAATTGAAGGATAATGCATTTTGCTGTGATTGCTACGTGATTTGGAATCGCAGGCAGAATCGCAGCAATTCTATCTGTGATTCCAAATCATGAATAATGAATGGAACCTTAGGGCTCAGCTTTATGTGAATTTATTAAAGGTATAACTAGACATACTTTCTGGGGGTTATTTGCGGATATAGTAGAGAGGGTTTGGAACACCTGTCAGGTTTTTATTATTGCTGGCAGATTACATTCAGTCAATCAGAGGAAGCTTTGTTTTCACTGGTAAAAATAAATAGCTGAGAAGCACTCAGCTGGACACTAGTTGATCTGGCAGCAGACAAGAAGTTTCCTGTATGGCTGCTGGAATACAATGCTTCAAATTGTATGTAAATGATGATACTACAGCTTGATACAGCGTTCACACAGGCACCAAATCACTAAAGCCGATCATGTATGGATCAAAATTAGTCCAGATCAGCAGGAACCGGCCAATCAACTTCTGTACAACCGCCCTGTCAGATTTTGCCATGCGATCAGAGCCACAGACTATGGCTGTCAGAACATATCAGTGTTTTCCTGCAGTGGGGAAGTCTCCTTACTGTCAGAATACAATAGTTCAATGTGGAGGATTCCCAAATCCACATTGAATGTGTCCATGGAGAATCAAGTAATGTTTTTATTTATCGTTCAACCTGCTGGTTGACCATAAAATTACATATCTATGACAAGCTTTAGGCTGGTCTTGGATTGGTCGTAATTTTTATTTAACAGCCAACTGATCAAAAAAAAAAGAAACCGAGTCCCCCATCCACACAAGCAAAGGAGACAGTGGATTCCTCCCCGCTGAGCTTATGGTATGCTAACAGTGGGACTCCTCCGCTGTCAGAATACACTGATCGGTGCTGCAGCCAATTGACTGCATGTGCTGATCAAATATAAGAATTCCATCATTTTCATTCAAGAGAAACTGATTATTAGTTTGAAGTCTCTTGAGCAGGAATGGCCATAGATGGATTTAAATTTGACCGATCCTTGAAAAAACGGCCGATTTTTGATCAATCAATGGCCAACTTAAAGTGATTGTAAACGATAAGCTTGTAAAACAACCCATTCATTTTAAAATAGAAGTGAAAAGGCAAAATATTTGTATATAGATATAAAAAAACATTATAAATACCTTTTGTTCCCTTTTATTAAGCAAACACATTCACTCTGTTCTCAGCTGCATAAGAGCTGGGGAAGGAGAAGCACAAGTACACTGATCTTTCCAGTGAATGATTGTGCAGGGAAGGGGGTGTCAGGACAAGTCTGATCATTGGAGGTGAGCGGGCTAAGTTCCCATCACAGCTAAAGAACTGACCACACAGTGCTTTCATGCCTAGTGTGGTCATATTTTAATAGGAAAGGGATTTAATACAAAGGAATCAATACAAAGAGAACAGGATACTTTTTCATACAGGTAGATGGTACAGCAGGCACATATCAGGAATATGAAATGTTGGGTTTACATATTCTTTAACTTCTTTCAGTCCAGCCATTTATGTGGATGGGCCAGATGGGAACCCCCATCCACCTGAGGATGCGGGTGGATCGGGGGATCTAAACACCCCACACATTCGCTGCCTGTGTGCACTTCTTAGGAGCATGCTGCGGTGCGATCTCTGCACACTGTGTCCAGATTGCTTTACCAGGCCACTGTGGGCAGCCCCAGTACCATGTGATTGCTGATTTACCAATCAGCAATCACATGCACAGTAGTAAGATGTCATTTCTTGGCATCATTGTTTACTACTTTGAGCTCTGTGATCGATCACATGTTACAAGGCCTTTCACAGCAGCCTTTTACCATGTGTTAAGCTGTGACCAATCACAGCTCTCACAATATTTCTCAATGGCTGCAGAAGCCAGAGAGAGTAGGAAATGATTGCTTTTACAGACAGCATGGCTTTAAAAGCAATCACAGTGTAAAAAAAAAAAAAAATCCTGACTACCACCCACAAGTAGTACAGTGTCACTGTACTGCAGGGGTGAGGTATGTAAAAAAAAAATAAATATATATATATATATATATATATATGCATACACACATAAAAAAATTTAAAAAAAAGT